CCAAAATTAACATATTTCAAGCTTCCGATATGAAGAGCTATCTATTGTGTCTATATGAAAATTTTAAAGCGAAAGAGCTGAAATGCTTTTACATTTCTGTTATGTCTTGCTGAAATGAACAAATATCAATTTTCTTTAGCCATCGTGGCTACTGCCGATCTTGCCCAGGCCTTTTACTCTACGGCTATAATATCTTTAAACTGTTTCCATGTGTTACAAATGTTGTTGGACGTTACATTTTAGTCTTTAGCAAAGTGCACTAGAAACTACTCCCGACAGTTCTCCACCTCATTTTATAAGGTATTTCTCCCGTCTTCTTAGCGTGCCTTCGTGGTGTAGTGGTCAACACGCTCGACGCGTATTCGAGAGGTCCATGGTTCGAGTCCCGGCGAAAGCCTTGCTAATGTTTCATCTTGTCTACTTCCAAAAATACCTAATGTCTCTACAGTGGCGCTCGAACTAAAAGGTGGTAAATGATGATTCTTCACCACCAGGATTTGGCGATTGGGTCCCCTAAAAACCCCAGTCGCCCTTTAAAAGGGGAGAGTATATAAGGTATTTCTCCCATCTTCTTAGCGTGCGTTCGTGGTGCAGTGGTCAGCAAGCTCGACCCGTACTCGAGAGGTCCGTGGTTTGAGTCCCGGCGAAGGCGTTGCTCATTTTTCATGGCTCCTGCTTCCGAATACCTAATGTCTCTACAATTTTATCATCTAAACTTTGGTGTTCGCTCGCTTCAACAGCCGCTCATTTGAATTTCACCAAATGTTGAAAAACACCACAGAAGGTCGCCGAGAAATGCAAGCGAACAAAGTATGTAAAATGTCACATGCGCTTTTAACGACGCTTTTCGTAAATACTAATGCTCACATGCAAGTACATATTTGAGTATTCGACAGTAAAGATTTGTATTTTTGTTTGGAATCATAATTTGTACCGTTCATTCTGTACCTTTCAAGAAAATCGCCAAAATATGAAAATTCTCTTAATTTTAAATACCATCGCATTTTAAATGATTCGCTTTTCTACACTGATGTGCAGTGAGATGCAATGAGAGCAAGATGTGCAATGAGAAAGTTTAGAGAGAGAGCTTTGGTAACTGAGGCCCTGAGCACAGAAATTCCTGTTCTTTTTGCCGGAGTGTGGGGCTGACTGTTGGGGAGCCATTTTCTTTTTCTTTGTTAGGAGGGAAGTCGCGCTAGCAAACGAGCCATGTTTTTAGTCTTTACTTGATTTGTATGTAATTTAAGCTACTATCATATTCTCTGGCAGCAAGCTGTGGAAATAAACTTTTTTTAGTCTCCTCAGTTATAATTTCAAGCGGAAATAACAGTAAACAATTTAGTTGGTTATATACATCTTTGTTATCAGTTTGTGATGTAGAATTTTCAGTTAAGACAGGATGAAAATTCATCCGGTGTTTAGTAAGATTATTCAGTATTTTGACTACGTGTAATTAGAGAACCTTATAATTTGAACTGGCAATCTTAATCTATAAGATATTTTTCCCGTTTTCGTGGTGTAGTGGTCAGCACGCTCGGCGCGTATTCGAGAGGTTCGTGGTTCGAGTCCCGGCGAGGGCATTGATAATTTTTCACCTTTTCTTCTTCAAAATTACCTAATGTCTCTAAAAGTGTAATGCCTCCTACTAGCTATTAAAGTATCTATCGCAGCTATTGTCACTAAAGAAGTAAAGACAACACAAAACAACCACCAAATGTCAATAATTCAAGCTCACTAATACTGCAGTTTGCGTTTCAGCTTAAAGGATTCGTTACTTGCGACACATGCATAACATATCAACTGTCTTTCCTAATTCGCAAAAAATGTGACTAGTCAACACAAGTAACAGAATAAACTGAGAAATTTAAGTTAAAAAAATACCCTAATTGCTTTTTCGCAAATCTAAAAGCTTTGCATGTAGTTCTTTCCGAACATTGCACCAAAATGTGAAATAATCATAATATGTATCCTGTTTAAGATAAAATGATATTAAGTACATTGTTTCTTCGTCTTCTTTCTTTCTAAAGGCACAATTCTCTACAGACGCGGTGTAATGTGATCACATTTGTCTATGGTTATTTTGATGACATTAAGGGAATGATAGCGTTAAAAAAATATCCTTCAAAATAAAAATGTGATATAACTAATTTAATACAAATACAACTAGATACATAAAGAGATATCTTCACAGCATTTTAATTAGAAAATGCAAAGCATTTGTTTACGAATTTTTCATAATGTCTTTCACGCCAAAGTTCACTTACGAATTGTTCATATAGCGCTTCTGTAAATTATTTCACCGATGGTGTGTCTTTAATCTTAATATTCGGATGATATCCCTTGGTGGAAGAAAACAGGCCAATGTAAAATTTAAAATTAGACAAAAAAGCAACCTAGTTTATAAGATTTTGTGTTAATTAACCAGTTAATAAGATTTGCACTATTACACCACTAATTTCTTCTTTCTGTAGTCCTCACCAGAATGCAAATTAGTTGTTATGTATTTAAACCGAGGGTTTGAATGTTTTAAGGTTAGAGCTTCTGGCAGCCTCCCGTTGCAATTACATACTATCGCCAGCCCTGCCAAAGTTATTCCGGCTTTAGCCATTTTGCTAGCCAGCGTTAAAAACGCGCCGTTATTTACTTGAACCAGCTTAAGTTTCGGATTACGTTATTTAAATTGGAATTTAATTTTATCTTATACTGTTTTAAATACCTGCAAATGGCATAGTTATATTCTGTAGTACAAGGGATGCTTTCTGTTGATTTAAAGAGTTTAACAGAAAAATAACTTAACCTTTCTGAGACTGTCATTTGAATTCAGGCTGGAACGATAACTCGCTTGTCAGCCTAGTAACAATAGCAGAATCTTACAAGTTTTGCTTAGATGTTTTCAAGGAATTCTTTTTTTTCAGGGGAAAATATTCTGTAGAAATTGCTTAACTCTCATAAATGCAACCCATTCTTCACACAATGGAAAAGGGGTTATAGCACACACCACCTCTCAGCACAGCCCCCACGAAGAAAGAAGGCCAGTAAATGTCATCCATTCGTCTAACTACGGAAAAGGAGTCTCGGCTCACACATCACGGAAAGATGACTCTGACATAAAGGATCAATGCTATGTATACACGGATGGTTCAAAAGTTGACGGACAAGTAGGCTGTGGCCTCATAGTAACTAAGAACAAGGAAACACTGATAACATGGAAAGGTCACATGGGACAGAATAATTCAGTTTTCCAGGCTGAAGCAGTTGCGATTTGCAAAGCTATCGAGTTAACAAGCACTCCAGTAGGATCCACTATTAATATTCTTACAGACAACGCTGTTGGAGCGAGACGGCTCCCGACCTAATGCAACCTCGAGGGTGCCAAACAGGATTAATACCGCCCCGCCCTTGGATCAATCTCCATGTAACGACCCCACAGAGCAAGGGCGGACAAGACAGTACCAGTACGGTCCCTGCCGAACCTTACCCTGTCTCGAGACCCCTCAGGCCTTCTGTGAAGAGTGATTATATACCCCCGTGGTTGAGACTGCCTAAGTACAGATCCTAACCAATACTTCCCAGGCATTTGCCTGAGTCAACTCCTGGGGGGGGGATATTCTTACAGACAGCCTCTCGGTCATATATGCCTTACGAAATCCTAGAAATCCTTCTCCTATCATAGCGGAGATTCACGACATGCTGATGGAGCGTTCGCCGACAACGAATACCCTCATATGTTGGATAAAGGTGCATGCCGGCATTCAAGGCAATGAGGAAGCCGAAAGGCTAGCAAAAGAAGCAGCTCACAATATCGATGCTCAAAGCGTTATTACCAAACTCCCGTGGTCTCACCTTAAAAAAAGTGACAAGGACAGCAGCTCAACACCAGTGGCAATGGGAATGGGACACTACTGAACAAAGCAGGAGGACCTACGAATATTACCATAAAGTTTCGATAGATCGTCTTGAGTCATCCGCAAAAATAACGAGATTTGTGACGGGGCACGGGCCTTTCCCCTCCTATTACTATGAGCGAGGAATTGCAAATACCAAAAGTTGTGTCTGTGGAGCCATTGGTAAACCAGACCATTACTTGACCCAATGCCCTCTAACCGCATAGTGGCATGTGCAGCTTCCGGAACAGGCAGTTTCTCATAAGGGTTATCTGATCAAACAGCCAACATTTCGCAGCAAAATATGCAAGATAATGCAGAAATTGGAGGAATTGGGGACAGATTTGTGCAGCGTGGAATAGTTCCCAGTCAATCTCTCTTCTCTCTCTCTTTTTTTTTAATTGTATATATTATAAAACATGTATGTATTATGGCCAATGAAAATTATTATGGACTGTGTATGTATTATGTAACAGGCTCAATATATTATGAGCTATGTAAGCAAGTATGAACTATGTAAGCAAGCGTGTAAGCATGTATCTGTATGAACTATGTAAGCACGTATTATGAAAGATCTATGTATTATGAACTACTTGTATATAAGCATGTACTATGAACTATTGCCCTGGATAGTTTCGGAACCTGGACTAGACCCGAGTATTCTAAGTAAGCCGCACGGGTGTTCAGATTATGCTCTCAACTGTTAACTGTAGTAATTGCTTTTGCTCCTGAAGAAGAGAGACCTGTGTCTTATCGCTCTCAAAATCGATAAAAGTATTCAAAATCTACGTCAAACTGAGGTTACATTTTTGCCTAATTTTAAATGCTGACTAAGATCGAAATCAAGCAGTTTGGTGTCTTAATCCCTTACTGTCACTTAGCAGTTTTTATAATGTATTTTGACTTTATTTGGTTATTTACTTCAGTTTAAAAATTATTAGTAATATTTTGATCATGTTAACTGAATTTTTGATCACAATAATCAAGGTATTTTCAATGGTTTCATATACTCGGCAACTCGATAAAAATATCCGAACAATAAATAACAATTAGCGACGTCCACTCTATAAGCTATTAGATTAGGAAACTTAGATAAAAAGAATATAAATTAATTACCTTTGCCATGTCTGTTATAGTATTTGCGTTATCCATCAGCTTCCTCTGATCCATTTTCACTTTTCTCAAACTACATAAAGCATTACAAAGAATTACTTTTACTTGAGAAGATCACTAAAGTATTATAGATTTAAAAGCAAAAACAAACTAAAAAAAAAAAAAGGAGGGGGAACTATTCGGTCTAGTTCTCAAAATTATATATCATTCTACCAAAAGTTACTAAAATTATCCTTTTCAGTTTACTCTTCATTTTTAATAATGAATACACGTATGACAATTTCACACTTTTTCCAATAAGTATTTAAATAAAATCTAGAAGCATGCAAAAAGCAATTCGATATTTATTTACTTTTTAAGGAAGAATGCAAGGTAAGAGTTTCGTAGTTCTATGAATAAAATGTATTCATTCTGAACAATATGCAATTTTACAATTCGCCTAAGAATATATTCTCAGTTTCGCAATACAGTAAGTCAACTATTGGTTTGCGGGGTAATACCGAGACGTCATCCACGGTTAACTCAAAATCGCAATTAATCTGAGAGCCATTTAATAAACTCTGGAAAGAGAAATAAGCCATATTGTAATTAACAGAAAACAATGCCATTAACAATTTATCCGTATTTTCAAGCAGTTTAACCTACATTGTTTATTTGATTATCTAAATTAAATCCGTGTTCAAAATTGTCTTTCTGTCTATGTTTCTCCGTTATTTTACGATCCATTTGTTTACATTGCTCTTGTATTTCGATTGGAATCAATGTGAAATAGAGGATTATCGATGTACACTTGGCTTATTTTTTAAACACTATAATTTAGTTTTGTGGATTAATGATGTTTATATATTCCGAATTACGTATAATTTTATTAGGTACTGTTATGGATAAGATAATTCCCTAATGTTATGACCTTTTTGTATGTCCTTCAGACAGTTTTGCTTCACGCTGATGATTTGTGATAATAAAATTTCCATCATTCCGCAATATATAAACCTTTTCTGGACAGAACTCGGCTATTCCGCTCTCGGATAATCGGGAATTGATTGCATACGATTTAGACTTCCCACATGCTGTATTTTTATGAACTCGCAGTAGCTCATGGAATAGACGAGAAAGAGTAATAATGAACGCTTGAGAGCTTTCGGGAAATTAATTGGCAAAACCTTTAACTGGAAGTACAAATTCTACAGTTTGTAATATTCTCTAAAAACGATAAAAAAGTTTTAAAAACTGTGTCCAAAGAATCTTTTACTTTTCGAAATCCACGATGCATTTCTTAAGGAGCAATTAAACCAAAATGTTCACCATGCGGGTATATATAGTGAGATTTGAATTTTCCTTGCTCAAAACAACGTATCTGTTGATCTGTACATGAGAAAGAAATGCGGCAAATATGTCAAATTTTCCTTGAAACTAGCTCTTGCTGAGCTCACAGGTCTGTCCATATGCAATTCATTCGCGATTAGGTGAGTTGAGTAGACAATAAATAAAAGTCTTATTTAGTGACGAGAAAGATTTTGACCTTGATGGACAAAATAGTTGGTCTCGAGACCATTATTAGTGTGATCTCAGGACAGAACAAAACATGAGATAAAAAGGTCAAATTGGTGGAATTTCAGAAATGATATGAGGTGTCATGACTACAAATTTGGTTACAATAAGTGAGAAAGTGAATACAGAAAATTGTCAAAAAATGCTTGAAAGCCAACTTTTAGAAAAATGAACCAAGCAGTTCTGAGCGATTCTTTCTTTTCCATATAGGATCCACATAGACCAAGAAACTATACATGATGACCTGTAATATTTAAAAGGACAATGTCTCCCCATACTCTGCTTCTTTTACTACGAGCTGGTTTCAGACTCACAATGTTTAGCTCAAGGCACGACTATAAAAAAAGATTGTAGGAAATATGTAAAAATGATGGCTTTGACTATGTATGCTTAAAATAAGCTATATAACTTCCTAGAAAAGATTTAAAAATTACTACACCTAATCTATTTTAGATAGTTGGCACAATTTCTGAGATCAACTTATTATCTCAGAAACATACCGAGCCCGAATTTAACACGATATTTGTGACTTATTATTTACTGTTAGAAAACTGATTTTCACTAAATTCGAGTTCTAGTAACAATTTATTGGTTTGCCCATACCTCCGTCCGACCTGTGTAAAGGCTTGGAATAACGTAACGACCATACCGCTACTCAAGCCAAGTTGGGGAAGTCCCGATTTATATATTGCGTCTTTGAGTCACAGATAACCGTGTTCCGCATCTTTCGTAACTGTTATAGAGCAACCGTTCACTAGAGCAAATATACAATTGCATATTTGCTCTAGTGACGGTTATCTAATTTATTCTTCATTGCCCATAAAAAATGGACGCAACTAATAATAGTAGTGTTGTGAAAAAAAGCCTCATCAAAGACACAAATAAATAAAGGTATCAAGAGAACTTACGATATGAATTTTAAAATTACGGTTGCTAATGAGGCAGAGAGAATAGACAATTTGAGAGCTTCAAGGAAATAAGGTGTTCCATAAATAAACATCCGTCTCTGGAGAAATGATTTAACAAAATATAAGAATGCAAATTCCTCAAGAAAATCATTTAGTGGGTCCGAAAAAGAAAGGCTAACGAAATTAGGCAGCGAATATTAAAATTGGTAAAGAAAAGTGAAATGAATATGCCGGGAAGTTATAAAACTGAAAGCGTTAGAAAAGGCTGCTCATTTAAATATTTCTAAAAAGGACTTAAAAGCAAGTATGGATTGGTGTAGAAGAATGGTAAAACGGCATGGTTTATCACTACAACGGCGGACAACTCTCGCGCAAAAAATTCCTGGCGACTTTATTGAAAAACTGTTGAATTTTCAGCTGCATATTATAAAATTACGCAAAAATCACAACTACAATCTTGGAAACATGGGAAATGCAGACCAGACGACAGTCTATTTTGATATTTTAAATAATTGACATTTTTGACGTGAACAATAAGTGCGGCATGAAACAATAAGTTTTTGGAAATTACATGCGATTGCACACATTTAGTAAATTCATCTACCTAAAATCCAGAAGCTATAGAAATATTCATAAATCTGTTACGTTCTTATAAAGGACTTTACCTGAAATTTCTGTTTGCATACAAGTGTTTATCCTGGTTTTAGTGATGCAACTCTAAATCAGAGACATCTTTAAATAAAACAAAAACAGTTGTCACACTCACTCTATTTATTACACAGAAATGCTCAGTGGCTAAACATGACTATAAGAAATTCCTGAAACTTCATAGATAGAACATCTATCACCTGTACACAGTCACACACGATATGTTAACAGATGAAATAATTTAAACTGACAGTATATCTTTTTTCGCTACGAAATCTAATAGAAATATAGCCGTGGATATACAATATAATAATCAAATGTGATGAAGCAATTAAACCAATAATCAATATAACGATTTTTAATTACGAAGTATGATAAATACTTAGTAACGAGCTACAAAAACTAACATCGTAATTTACAAACTTAACACTAAAAGCAATTTAATTGAATTTGATAGAAAAATCTATAAACCTTACCAATAAATAGCTAACAGGAACTTTCTTTGGTGTGCTCTAACTTTTGATGGATTTACTCTCTTAACCAGTTTAGTGTGCTTGTAAATGAGCCACGTTTCTCTGAGAACATTGGCGGCGGCATTCTTTAACTTTAAAAAAAAGCAATTTAATTGTCACATGAAATAAATAACAACAAATTTCTGTGGTTACATTAAAATTCTCTTAAAAGTAAAATATTCTACACTACAATTTCTTTTTCATCAACTATTACATGATGCTCCTTTACAGTTCTGAATAAATGAATCAAAATGTAATAGTGGTATAAATAAAGATAAATTTCACATAGTAATGTAAATCAGCAATATGTAAAGAAACCACTATTTTTATTAATGGTATATTTGATTTAAACAAACAGAAAGAAAATTCAACACAAAAAATTATAATAATAATGAAATGTATTAATCGGCATGTAATTCATTCACGGAATATATAAGTGTCGCATTTACAAAATACAAATCTAAAAGGAAATTCTGATTTAAGAAGGAAAAATGTAAAGTTGTAAAAGTAATAACTGAAAAATTTGCTCTCATATACATGGTGATAAATTGAGAAACCTGAAAATTAAGGTTTAGCATATAAATACTGAATTCTAATCTGCAAGCCCCCTGTTCCTTTTATTTGCTTGCTTACGTTTTTCAAGTAAAAGCGTGTCATTTGCATACTACTTACGCGGGTTGTAATTCTGAATCCTCGTCTTGCCCGTCATAATCGTATTCTTTCTCTTCCTGAGAATTAAATTCTCGCCTAGTTTCGTTCAAGTTCGATCAAACGCGTTGTAGAAAACCTATACTTTAAATAAATACTCGAGCATGCCGTACGTTTTTAGTAAATTTAATGTTGGGTTTCAAATTGTTCATCATTAAGGTGATGGGATGAAGTCCCGTGTTTAGTTTTGTATTAAAAATGCCAATACGTTATTATACATTGTTTCGAAATTTAAAGAGAGGTGACTGTCTGAACAGAATGATGCAGAAAGAAATTAGTGGCCTATTTGAAAAATGCTAGTTACCGAAAAAAGAGGTTTTCTTTGACTGTACAACGCACTTCAGATTCAATGACAATCTCATTAAATGGAAGACCTCTAAGAGAATTTAATACTCATGTTAAAAACTTTATTAAAAAATCATCTTTTGACCTCAGAGCCTCCTAGAAAAATAATTAACATAAAAGAAGAAAATAATGTGTGGCAGCTTCCGGCATAAATTATGCCAGATAATTATTTTGCTCGTTATTTTATATAATTTCTATGATATTTTACCTTTAAATTTCAAGGAATTAGTTTTAATATTTAAAAATGGTCTTTTTCCTACAAAATTATTTATATTTTCTATGTTTATAAAAAGTAAACTATTTACTTAGTTTGATAAAGTGTGAGCCCTTTATTAAACTTTTCACAGCTCACCTCTGAATAAACGCTAATTTTATTAGTTAATTGCACAATGTTTTTCCACTTTCCTTTTATTTGAAATTGTTTTGCAGATATTAATTTATTAACTGTTTTTAAAAGGTGATATAGATCACAATAATTGATGTAATTGAAGATCTTTTATTCCATTTCATACACAATGCTAAAATATTCACAGAATTATGCAGGCTTGGCTTAATCAAAATGATAACGATTTCCTTCAGTATTAAAAAAAATGCGATCAAAACCAACTGGAATATGAATATGAAAAACATAATTTCCTCAGTTAAAAACTTATCTATACGCTAAAATATATTCTGAATGTGTGCTTATGAGGTAAGTTAACATTTTGGAAGTTACCTGATCAATGAATATGGAAAGCCATGCTCATGCCCATTTTATTTGTTGTGTTAAATGCTGGATATCCTTCACCAAACAGGCTTTTCAATATCCGATATAAAAGTGAAGTTGTCTGTATGAATATGTTACAAGTGACATACTGAGCCTGTTAAAGTACATCTCACCTTGCATTTTATTGCAAAACATCAAATACATTTATTTTTCCAAGATAGCAATAAAATATTTTTAGGCGATATATTAGATTTTATGTTGTTCATACGGCATGCAAAAAATCTGATAATCATGAAATACGTTGCAAAAGATAGAAATCAATTGGATACACATTCATTTTAATTAGTTTTTTGTTTTGGTAATTAATGAGATTACATTTTGTAATTTACATTCTGTGTGGGAATCCACTTTTAATATTTGCGAAGTTTCCATATTTCATATTTGCATACAGTTTTTGTTAAATGTTACCAGCGTTTTTAAAGTCAATTTATCTTAAGTTAAATTAGCTTTTATTGGCATCTCTAAATTGTTTACAGGAATATTTTTGTGTACAGGATGAATAAAAATTGATGCTGATTATATTACATCATATTTGTTTGAATTGTTAGGTGGAACATGAAGCTTCGTTTGAAGTTAATGAATCATTTAATAGGAAAAAACATGAAAGTTAACCTTTAATGGAGGTATACATTTGTTTTTGGGGAGGATGATAAACCATCGAAGACAAAGTGACTTATGTTGTACTACGAGATAAATCAATCGGCAAGATATTCTTCAAGCCTGAATAAAATATTTTAGTTAGTGAAAGCAATAATGTATTAGTAAATCCTTAATTACATAAAAGGTATTTAACTGCTTATATGCAAACAAATACATTAATTAGTTAAACATTACTTTTTAAATAGATGAAATAAATCAAATTGTACAGATAAAATCAGTGTATCTGGCAGGCACCCATTTATAGTGTCATATCAATAGAGAGTGCACGGACCTTTTCACATAAAACGCTGCTTATTTAAAAGAATTATTGTGCTTTGACATATTACAGCATATATACTAGTGAGATACACAAGAAAATTAAAGTTCACAAGTTACCCTTTTGGTCAGTTGAGTGTCCATCATGAAGTTGTGGACGTGCTTCTCTGCTCTGGTAAGCTCGAGTTTGCGGGCGATGACAGCAACAACCAGTGCCGTGCACCCAGCGCCCTGGAAAGAAAAGTTCGCAGTGACATGCACCATATTAAAGTTATAAAAGAGGTTTTGAAGTTAATTGAATGCAATATTTGCATTAATGTGGCATTGTAACATGTAAATACAGCAGAAACTTCCGTTAGTGCACACTGACAAGACAGAGGAATTTGTCCGTTTTCATGGAATATCCTCTAAATAGAAGTGTAATGATAGTCTACTCCGACTGCGCGGGAGCTCAGGAACTGTCTACTAATGGGAAATGCCTGCTAAACTGAAGTATATGTTGATGGAGGTCCCGCTGTATAAGTTTATACGGAAATAAAATAACTTTTTAAGTTAGTATGAAACATTTTTTCTATTTTTATGCCATTACTGTTCCGTAATAATAGTATGTGGACATTCGATCTTACAACGTATCCACCTTTCTCCTTCCTGTACCTGGCAACCGCATCAGCAGCTAGATGATTCTCGAAGCTGTGTGATAAGTTAACTTCTCCACTTCTGCGCGTGAGAGATGCTGCGACAGCAACGTGGTGAACGGATCCTAAAAACTATTACGTAGTAGTTAAGAGACTTTCAAACATCCCCATTTGGTGTGAGGATTACCACTACTGTGATGCCACCCTATGCTATGGAGCTAAATTTTTATCTTACTTCTTTTCATCTTTCTATGTTTCTTTTCTTTTTTTTTTTTTCATTAAAATACTAAATCTTAACATTGGTGTCATTCTTAAAGTAAAGTAGAAAGACACCCACATTGGGGCTCGGCCCCACGAACTCTCTCGACTCCTTGAACTAAAATCTGTTCTTCTCTTCAACTTTTTAAACCCCCTAGACTACCATATAAGATAACGAGTATAATTATACATGATGGACTACTGTGGAATAATATCGCAAGATTCCAGTTGTTGTGATTCGTCAGCACGTAAGTAGAGCTAATTTTATTTGATGAAGTAATACTAATGAGGAAGTAATATTCTTTCAAAGTTATTATGAATATTTGATGACGCCTTTTTATATGAAGTTTATTTGATGAAGCGAAAGGCATTTGATTTTGATGAAAATTCATTTTATTTTTGAATGATTATTACTTTGAAGAATTAACACTTCCGTTTTCGAATTTGATGTTGATGATAATTAATTAAACAGTTTTGATGAAGTTTAATTGAATACACTAAAGGTATTTGATTTTGATGGAAATACATTACTGAATATTTACAGAATTGTAATGCATTAAAAAATTACTTTGAAGAATTACTTTCGTTTTCGAATTTGATGCGTAAATTTCTTATTTCTTTTAATGCCTATATTTTACAAAGACTGTACAATATTATTTTAAGTTATTAATTTTGATATCATATCTTAACGTGAAATTCTATTTTCCATTCTTAATATAGTCTTATATGAAGATTTGTTTGACAATATATTTTACCATTTGTTTGAATCATATGTTCACAATTTCATTTATGATTTTGAGTGTTTTAACATCATAGTTATTGTGTAATATACTAAGAAGAATTAATATTATTTTGAAGAATAATAAGAAAAATTAAGAATATATTTTGGTATATTAATTTCTGAAACCAGATAAATAATATTTGATGAAATCGAAACATACATATTTTGTGGAATTTCATATTTGGTTAAAACAAAACTGATAACTAATGGCTACACTTAACGATTATCCCAACATTGCACAGTCATTAAAAACTGCCAGTACAAAGCATATCAAGCTTTTACATCGTTTAGTTTTTGGCTCAGATGGTGATCGGCAGAATCGTGCTAGGTTACGCAATTTTTCTTGGTTTTCCCAAACCCTTTAACTTAAAAAGATAAGAAAGAAGAAACGAAACGGAACAAAAAATTATCAAACGAGAATTATTAATTAATTAAATTAAGAAACTAAACAAAAAATTATACAAAGAATTTTCTCTTGCTGAATTAATTGCCATATGTAGCGTTACTATATTTAGAATTTTCCACCGATATTGAAAACTGTGCTAACAATATTCTTACGAATCTAGCTGATGTATCATTATTAAAATCAGATTCCGCTGACCACAGCGACCTTGAAGAAGAAGCTTTGGTGCAAAGTTCACCCTCGATGCACGTAGCGTCGCCCAAACAGCCATTAATCACACTCCAGATGATTCTTTATGTAAACAAATTGGAGGCAAAAATCTCTCTTGAAAGCGCGCCTGCAACTTTATTGCTATTCAACTAACCCGCAAACACAGACTGTTCCGTTTTCAATGTTTTGGCTTAAAAGACATTGTTGATTTGATCAAACCCTTTTCCTCTCGGGATAATTACAGCGTTGAAACTTTTATTTCTGACATAGAAGATAATTTTAATCTCTATGAAATCACGAATCCTGTACACCAAGTAATTTTTGTTAAAAAATGTCTTACCGGTCCAGCTTTAACATTAATTAGACCAATTCGTGGAATTACTAATTGGGAACACTTGAAACACCATTTATTCGATGAATTTTCGGAAAAAAATTAATAGCCTTCAGTTACATAAAATAATGGAATCTCGTCACATGAAACCATTTGAAACCTTACAAAAATATTTTTTAGCTATGAGAGACCTCGCACACAAAGGTTCTATGGATGGTTCTTCTTTGATTGAGTATGTTATAAATGGTATTCCTGATTCATCAAACAATAAAATAATTTTATATGGTTGTAAATCCATTCTTGAATTTAAAGAAAACCTGAAGATTTATGAAAAACTATTTAACAATTCAAAACTATTTTAAGGAAAATACTTCCAAAGAAATTTACAAATTCCTTTCCCAATGTTTAAAATTGATGCTAAAATGTACATCAGACACTCAACCAGGTATGTTATTTCCTGTGGTCTATGAAAGGACACAAACGCATTAATTGTCCTAAATAAATCTAATGGCAAATTATGTTTATGGCTGCCACAATTATGGTCACGTTCATTCCAACTTGTCCCAAACGTTCTGGTACTTCTAACCACTGGAATCTGGTAATTGTTCTACATCTGATAGTACTATAAATGCACTTTCTACTCAAAATTTTTCTAAAAATCCGATGCATGTTTGATATTCAACTTAAAGGACTCAGTTAACTGCTCTCTATGACACTGGATCACAAGCAACACTATTACGGAGAAAACATACCCGCAAAATTGATCTCCACCATTACATCCTTCCAGAATTACATTCTCAGGACTTGGCCGAGACACAGTTCAAAGTATTGGATTCTTTCAGACTACATTCAAATTGAAAACACTATTTTACCTGCTAAAATCCATGTAGTAAAAGACTATATGATTCCTCTTGATGCGATTATCGGAATTGACTTTTTGCAACAAACTCAATTTACATTTGATAAAGACGGTATTCATTTATGCAACAATAATAATGATCAAATTTTTGTTAATATTGCTAATGTTACTCATGATCACACATTTCCACCTGATCTTTCACACATCTCAAAATCGGAAATTCTCGAAGAAGTTCCACATATCATTACTCCTCACAAACCACACGAAGTTGACACTGCTATGGAAGATTTTCAGAAAATAAGAGAAAATGAAAATCAGTTGAAGAAAACAAGTAAGAAAAATGATGATGCTGCACATGACGATTTAAAACTGGATTTAGATGATGACAATTTGGATTTGGATGATCACGATGACAAAGATGATGCTGATACCAATCATGGAGCTCATGACGATGATGTTGATGAAGATGGTGATGACGCAGGCGACGACATGGATCAATATCATGATATTGATGATGACGACAATCATAACGCTAATGGTGCTGATGAGGATGATGGCGCTCATGAAACTAATGAAGATGGTGTTATTGATGTTGATCAAGATGACTTTGCTTTGTTGCTGATGATCATGTCAATGAAGATGATGTTGATGACAACGAAGATGATCAGGACAACGAAGAAGGTCATGTCAATGAAGTTGATGTTCATGACAACGACGATGATGCTGATGACAGTCATGAGACTAATGATTATGATGATGATGTCGATAATGATCTAAACGTGCAGAATAATGAAGGAACTGCGACAAATAAACCGAATCAATTTGAACAAGCATATGCTGATCAAGCAACTAGAAAACACCTGTTAAAGTGCAGAAATTCCCAAAGAACAGAAAAATAATCCAAGGAAACTACTTGTCTCTGGCATTCCAGTTGAAGCTTTTGAGGCAACAAAGAATGCTGAAATATTTGGAAGAAAAATTAATGTTTCATATACTTTATCCGCTTCACAGCCAAAGAAACGGCAAGAAGAGCCTGGAAGTATAAACGAAGAAAATTTAAACGAACTTCAAAGACATGAAATTGCTGCACAGCATGATGATGAAAACGTGCATTATGCATTGAGCTCAACGGAACCTCCCTCCGTTTACGGCAAGCACATATACGACAGTATAAGAACGTCGCAACCTGCTGAAAACAAACTTGGACACCAAATGCCAATCCAGCCTGAACTGAAACTTCCACTTGGACTGATCTTCGACTTGACTGAAACTTGGACTTAGATTTCGTCCCAAATTCTTCGGTCCTTATGAGACAACGAAAGTTCATCCCTCTCCTCTGATTGTTACGAAGTACGAAAGATACGCCATGAAGGCTCCATTATCTTGTCAACTTCTGTACTGATCAGATGAACTGGTGGTGCATAAAGCTAACATTCGCCACCTGGACATTGACTTTTTTCACTTTCTCTATTTGTTTGTTTTTTCCCTTTCTTTTCAGATCCACCCCGGTCTCCGGACCCCACTGATGTTTCCGATGTATGTGACAGTGCCGTGTGGCATTCGATCTTACAACGTATCCACCTTTCTCCTTCCTGCACCTGGCAACCGCATCAGCAGCTAGATGATTCTCGAAACTGTGTGATGAATTGACTCCTTCACTTCTGCGCGTGAGAGATGCTGCGACGCCAGCATGGTGAACGGATCCTAAAAACTATTTACGTTGTAGGTAGAGACTTTAAAACTTTACCATTTGA